GTTTTTGTTTCAGTTAACTTCTAATTTCTCGCAAGTTGGTGAGTATATTTGTTTTTATTTACTTTCCAGTGATGTTTTTGATTTTTTAGGTTATGTTTGTGGGTGTGTGTCTTTGCAATACTTGTAATTTTCTGTATTTGCTGATTTCATTGTTCTTCAAGTAAATATAAAAAAACGAAAAACTATTTTTAGTTGTGTTTTTTTTTTTGTTTGTTAAACACTATTTGCTGCTATTTTAGTTTATGACTGCTGCATAGATAGTATAATATTCATGCAACGACGTTGTTTTTTGTGCTAAATCTGTTGCGAACAATACATTGTTTGTTTTTATTGTTAATTTATGCTATTTTAGTTTATGAAAATTGCATAGATAGTATATTTTTATGCATATTTAGTTGTTTTTTATGCTAGAACTGTTGAGAACATTTCGTTGTTTCTCGTCTCTGTATTAGAGATTGTACGATGCATAAATATTGTATGTTTTTTGCATTTTTAGTTTTAGACTGTTTGCAGGACATCACTCTTTGTATTGCTGCTATATTAGTGAATAAAGTATGCATATATTGTTTATATTTCCTGCTTAATTAGTTATCAAATGTTGCTTGATATGTTCATATTTACCTATTGCTATATTAGTTCTTGTATGACGCTAGATAGTGAATACATTAGTGCTTGACGTGTCCATATCTTCAATGTTGCTATATAGTTGGTTGTTGTTGCATTTTTAGTTCATATTAGTTGCATATTTATTTGGTTGATTTTGCATATCTAGTTCATATGAGTTGCATATGTGCTTGGTTATAATTTATTTCATTTTTGTGTTATTGTAAGACATATATTCTTGAAGTATGCCTCGCATTAAGAGTACCAAGCGTAAAAGAACTAAACAAGATGTTGGTGATATTCTCTTGCTTACTGATGGCACAGAAGGTCAGTCGGATATTAATAATCCCTTCCCAAAAGTGATAACTTGATCTTCTCCGAAGATCCTAGTGGATGCTATGAAATCTTTTAACCAACAAAAACGAATAGCTGTTGAGACGATGGGGTTTGGATGTCTGTTTCATCTCCAAATCAAGAAATTTCTGACTTAGTTGGTGCACTGGTTGTTGTCAAATTTTGATCCTATTAGTTGCCAGCTTGATCTTGGGAAAGGAAGAAGTATTCATGTGTCATCTGTGGATGTTCAGCGTGTTCTAGGCTTCCCCAATGGTGATAAGCCTATTGAGAAGAAAAAAAAAATCTGAGGAGTGTGATTTTTTGAATAGATGGAGGGGTCAATTTGTTGAGAAGAAAATTACTCCTGACATTTTATGCAAGAAAATGATGGAGAGTGTTGATGGAGATGAGTGGTTCAACTTACATTTTCTTGCTCTTGTGGATTGTCTGATTGTGGGAACAAATCAGTGTGGATATGTGAATCCTCTTTTTTTCAAGTCTATTTCTGATTTGTCATCTGTATTTGAGTTGAAGTGGTGCGACTACATCATCCAGAACCTTATATCAAAGAGTGATAATTGGCACAAGAGTAATAAGAAGTCTCAATTTAATGGTCCTGTTCTTTTTCTTGTGGTAAGTATTCATCTCTATATTATTTATTATAAATTTGTTTAGATTGTTATTCTTTGATATTTTTATTTATTTATTTTTTTATTTTTTGTCAAAACGCAGGTTTTATATGTTGATCGTGTAGTGATTTATGAACGAGATGTTCTTCCAAGGAGTGTGCCTTCATTTGTTGGATGGAATTGTGAGATTCTCCGTCGACGATGCTCTAAAGAAATTAAGGTTGGTGGTTTTGGACGGGAATTTGTTGATGAACCGAAGGAGATTCCGCCTTTGCAGTTCAAGAAACCTGAATTAAAGGATGTTTCTGATGATCCTGTACAGGTTTGTTATTTCTTTGTTTGTTTTTTGTTGCATGTGTAGTTGATATCAGTTGCATTTGTAGTTCTTACGAGTTGCATATTTAGTACATATAATTTGCATACTTAGTGTTATGAGTTGTATGTTTAGT